TTAACATTCCGGAAAAAAGTCAAGACTTGGCTTTTTGAGCAAGCGTTTCCAAGTACAGTGTAACTGACATAGGAAAATGGAACGATTAGACGATGTGACTGGTCAATGTTTTCAGCAAGGAAACGTGAATGACATATAGTTGTTATTGATTTTCCTATGATTTTGTATTATTTTAATGTTTTAATTGTATTTTATAGTCTTGGTACCTACTGTGAACCGCCCCATGTCGCCTGCGGGCTGAGAGGGACAATATATAAATATAGTAAATAATAAATAATAAACTGAGACACTGGTTTACTCTTCAGACTGTATAAGGGCCCTTCCAGACAAGCCCTATATACCAGGATCTGATCCCAGGTTTTCTCTTTATCCCAGATTATCTGGTAGTGTGGGCTCATAAAATCCAGTTTAAAGCAGAAAACCTGGGATGGGATCTGTCTGGAAGGGCCCCCAAGTCTTTAGTTTCTCTTCCAAAGAGCATTGGTACCTCAACAAACTGTAGCATTGAGCCATGGCATTTAAAGTGATGTCAAACTGCACTAATTCTACAGTATAGATGCAACCATAGTCTATGACCACTAGAGGGAGTATTTACACCAATGCTTATCATTTTTATGTTAGGCAATATTTGAAGCTGCATTTGCCTGTTATACTTAGAGACATTTCAGGCTTGCCATCCTTTTTTAAAAAAAAAAACAGGGAAGGATTCAACACATAGATAAGAGCTATTGTATTGTACGGTTCTGGTTACTGGAAAACTCATCATTACAGTTCTTTCCTGCAATATTTCTGCAACAGTGAAACTCTTGAAAAATAGCATCATCTTCCTCCTTGTCTTGAGCTTCATAAATTAAAAAAATTAAGCTAAGTGTGTCAGAGGCCATAGAAGCCTATACCAAATAAAACTTCTTAGTCTTGTAGACTGTACTGATTTCAATGTATTGTCGAAGGCTTTCATGGCCAGAATCACTGGGTTGTTGTAGGTTTTTTCGGACTATATGGCCATGTTCTAGAGGCATTCTCTCCTGATGTTTCGCCTGCATCTATGGCAAGCATCCTCAGAGGTACTTACTTACTTACTTAGGCGATCCCTCATAGTCTGAGGATGATGGTCCTCCAAGTTTGGTGTCCTGGTGATGGGTCCGTAGGTGGCTGTGGAGCCCTATTCTTGATCTGCATCTTCTTCCGCAGTGAGGGCATTGGTTTCCAGGTGGAAGGCAGTCTCAGATGGGGTTGGCTTGACGCGCCTTCCTCATGGCACGTTTCTCTCTTTCACTGTCCATTCGTGCCTCTTCAAATTCTGCAGCACTGCTGGTCACAGCTGACCTCCAGCTGGAGCGCTCAAGGGCCAGGGCTTCCCAGTTCTCAGTGTCTATGCCAGAGTTTTTAAGGTTGGCTTTGAGCCCATCTTTAAATCTCTTTTCCTGTCCACCAACATTCTGTTTTCTGTTCTTGAGTTCGGAGTAGAGCAACTGCTTTGGGAGACGGTGGTCGGGCATCCGGACAATGTGGCCGGTCCAGCGGAGTTGATGGTGGAGGACCATCGCTTCAATGCTGGTGGTCTTTGCTTCTTCCAGCACGCTGACGTTTGTCCGCCTGTCTTCCCAAGAGATTTGCAGGATTTTCCGGAGGCAGCGCTGATGGAATCGTTCCAGGAGTTGCATGTGACGTCTGTAGACAGTCCACATTTCACAGGCGTAGGAGGACAATAGCTTTATAAACAAGCACCTTGGTATCCCTACGGATCCCTCAGAGGTAGTGAGGTCCCAAAAAAAAAAAAACCTACAACCCACTGTATTGATTTCCTTTGAAATAAAAAAAAACCTACTTCCAATACTCTTGTATTCCCCCCCCCCCCCCTCCTTCCAAAAAAGATGGCTAGGCAGACACCATTCTAATGCACTTCTTACAGCAACAAGGACTATTTTGGTCCATATAATTCTGATCAGTGTTTGCTTTTGAGTTGGTTTTGCTGTTTCTTTCTAACAGCTAATTTAAAAGGAATTATTTTAATGCCTATTCTTAAAAGGTTATGTGTCATGTGTAATGGATGGCCTTGGGAACCTGGCAGGCAGAGAAGTGATGAACAAACATATTTAATAGAGCAAACTGGCATTTAGCCATTTTGGGAGTATCCTTATTGGGGATAACACCCATGACATGTCAGTGCAGAGCTCGTGACATTTCTCCGTCTTGTTTATGATGGTATTACACTAAGAGGAAGGGTTTTGAGTGGAAATGCTTATTTCATAGATTTCCCAAGAACCCCCAGTGGCACAATGGGTTAAACCCTTGTGCCAGCAGAACTGTTGACCAAAAGGTCAGTGGTTTGAATCTGGGGAGCGAGGTGAGCTCCCGTCTGTCAGCTCCAGCTTCCTTTGTGGAAACATGAAACCTCTCTCAGAATGGTAAAACATCTGGGCAACACCAATTCTCTCACAACAGAAGCGACTTGCAGTTTCTCAAGTTTCTCCTTACGCACAAAAAATATTTCCCCATCACAAGAGGATTCAAGTGCATCCACCTTTTTGAGGTTCCTAGTTATCAAGATTAGTTCTGCTCTCCATTCAGAGACCATGTTCTCCACAAACAGAACACCAAAGACAATATCCAAGTCATACACTTATAAATTCCTATACTGATAGGAATCCCAGATACCGGCACAGCAAGAGCCATTTATGCAGAGATGGGCAAACCAAGCAATATTTCATTCTGTGCTGTCTTATTCCATTTCCTTTAGGCTTGATACAGATTTTGCTCTCAAGAAAATAGAGAAGTGCTTAATCGAGTGAAAGTGAGAACAGTTAAGCTTTATGTAACAAACAGAAGTGTCACTGAACATAAAGATTACAGATGTTCCTGGTTCGTCTGTCCCCAGAAAGTCAAATTGCTTTTCCGTAGAACATTGGTCACTCAACATCTGCACAGAGTTGAAGTGTGCTTCACAACACTCGACACAAATCATGCAGAACATTATTTCTGCCATTAAATACAAATCATGTTTACAAGAAACTTTCGCACAGATTAGGAGCTCAATATATGTGGTGCTTCTGTATACAGTGCGTTGTGTGTGACATTACAAATAAGGGCAGTTAACACATCCTTGATAACCAAGACTGAGCCATTCTTTTGGGACTTTATTTTGAGCCAAATAAACTAGAAACGTTGACTCCGCCGGGGAAGGTGGGGCTAAAACAGGACCTCAAAACTAAAGAGGAAGCGACTGTTAACACTGTACATTTCACTTCCTATCTTTGTACTACAGCATTATGGGAGATTCGTGGAAACACCCTCATCTTTCTACTTGGAAATCTGCTCATAGTCATATTCTTCCAGCTTCTAAAAATAAATGTGGTAATTGCAGCACCTTCATAAAAACGGAAAACCGCTTTTCAGGTTCAGCAGCTGTATATTTTAACACTTGCTTTCAGCTGCTGGAGAAACACAATCCCTTTCTTTAGGGCAATTTATGCACAAAACAAAAAATATGGTTCTCAATATATGAAGGTACAAACCAAGAGGGTGACTGACAAAACTAATAAATGTCCCAACTTGTCTAAATAGTGAATGTTAGCAATTCTGAGGCTTCCCAAATTCTCAGAGGCCAGCCAACAGATAATCAAACCCAAAAGCTGTTGTGTCAACAACAAATTGGGAAACACAGGGTGGAAACTACCAGAAACCAGTTAAAACTCAAAATGCCCATCTTACACACTCCTTCAGAATGAAATGTCTCCTTCAGGAACCACAGACAGTGCACGAATAGTGATATCCAGAGATTTGGCTCCAGGACCCTCCACAGAGACCAAGATCCATGCATGTTCACATCCCATTATATACGTACAATAGCATAGTAAAATGATGGCTCTTATATAAAATGGTACAATCAAGGCTCGCTTTTTGGGTTTGAGTATTAGCAAGTCATGGATACTGTACTACTTTGTTTCTTTTTTTTTGGTCGTGTCAGGAGCAAGTCGCTTGTGGTGTGAGAGAATTGGCTGTCTGCAAGGACGTTGAATTACTACTGTCATACTAACCAAAGTATTGTCGGAAATAGCAACCTTCTACAAGCCTTCTATACTAGTTGTTAGGTAAATAATTCAGATTGCTTACTGTATTGCATGTGTTTGTGTTGGTATGCAGTTTTCCTTAACTCTATGTTGTGGGAGGGATGATCTGGGACTACTCAGATCTCACACTCCATTTTAGAAAGACAGACTCCATTAGACTCTCAGAATGTAGAGATGTTTTAGACTTTGGATTGTTAAGATTATAAGATACCATGTTATCTGCAGAGAAACTACTTCAAATCCATCTGTTATTGGATTGATAAGCAATATACCTGTATGCTGAATACATGAAGTTTCTAGGTAAACCAACTATGTTGTTTTTAACGAATACTTACATTTGTCTCACGAGAGCATGATTTAAACCAAGCAGGAGTGTAGATTTTTTGGGGGCAACTGAAATAACACTTCTGAAGATCTGCTATATATTCTGTGCAGTGGCATATCTTTGTTCCTAACAGTTCAGAGACTAATTGGCCTTGCATGAATGCTAGTGGATGTTTACCACTAAGGAGAAGATTCACTCGGACAAGTATTTCACTCTTCTCAGGAAGATCATATTTTCCAAAAGGGTTACGATCATTCCAAATAGTGTGAACGCCAATTAATCTCTAAAAGGGTCATGCTTCCAAAAGGCTATGGAGATTTCTGATTTTCCAAAAGGTTATGATCTCTAAAACGTCATGCCTTTCCAAAAAGAACAAGGAACTTGAATGCTGGAACAAAAAAAAAGTGTGAAATGTCTTGTGGCATCTCAATGAACCAGTAGCTGTCAATGGAGGAAAAGGTACATGGGCAATACCCTACATCATAGCATTTTATGCAAGGGCTCTTCTGCTTTGGCCAACATCACAACTGCCCTTTCTAGGAATTCATCCTATTTAAACTCTTTAATAAGACATACTATTTTGTGAAATTATCAATGCAATGCCAGATGCCAAAAATTTAGTTTTATACATCACCAATAAAGTCAAAGCAAATGTTAGCACCCCCACCTTTATATACTTGCAAATAAGTTGACAGGAACCACTTTCAAGCTTTGATTAATATAAGAACTAAACACACACACATACATTTTATTTACCTTGGATAATCAGGTGGAAAAAAGAAATTAGGTTTTGTTTCCTTTACATGGTTAGTGCAACTTTTATTTATGAGGTCCGCTTCAATAATGTAACAAAAAAGGGAGGGGGAACCCAGCCATATTACAGAAATTGAATCCATTTCAAACCCACGGGCTTTGCCACCTATGAACTGGACAGCATTTTTAAGTGGCATGATGGTAAAAGGTATCAAAAATATTTACAACAGAAAAGGAAAACTGCACCCCTTTTCCTGAAGGGCTTGGACCACCAAAACATTCCTTCGCCTGTTCCACTGGAATAACTTTTAAGCAACTTGAATTAGCAGGCAAAAGTCTGGCTTTTCCAGAAATCAAGGAGAGCAGCTTCAAAACCAATCGTGCACAAAAAAAAAAGGATACTTGAGGATTTTGCTAGAATTTTCCTCAAGGAAAGGGGGCGTTAGCACTGAACATTCACACACTCGCTTGTATTTCATTTGCAACTCTTCAATAGTTTTGAGCCAAATTTATGCCGTCAGAAGAATCAAGCAGTGAAGTGTCTCCTGGGTGCAAACATGATGCTGAAGGATCCCACAAGAGAGGGTGTGTGAAAGGGGAATATCACCACAAACTGAAAACTAGCAGGTTGCAATCATTTTGGATTTCTGCCTAACTGGCTGCCCTTTTCACTGCCTGCTACAACCACCACCAAACTTGAAACCATCACTTTACCATCTGTAATCAGAGAAGCGTAGAAAATGGTCGTGTTATACATTGCTGCAGATTCAAGTAGTAGGTATCCTTCTGGATTTTACCCTTTTCAAGTAAAGGTGCACTGTTGGAGGTTTTGAAGATCATGGACTTTTTCACACTACAAAATTATAACACTATCATTCCACTTTATGGAATTGTGGGCTCTTTTAGTTTGGTTGGCGGCACCAGATGGGTTCTGTGGCTGATTTTGAAACCCGCTCTCAACTGCTAATATCAAGATTTCACCAAAAGGAAGCATGGCAATTAAAGTCAACCCATCATGCCATAACAACATGATGTGAAAAGGCCCCAGGACAATGTTACTGCAACTATGGTACTTTTCAATTTCTATGGTGTTGTATTACAAACCTGAAAGAAACCCTAACAGAGTAAGTATCGGAAATGTCACAGCATTTTGCTTAATTATCATCTTTGCTTACGCTTAGAAAGATGGCTTGGATACAGCATTTTGTAGGCAGGGACATTGTTTGGAATTCTGTAGGGACGATGAAGATATAAACTGGGCCATGGGTGAAATAGCACATATTTTCAAAAGAGAAATTTGTCTTTCACTGAATCAGTCACTGGAAGAAAAAGAAAGAAACTGGACAGCATTTCTGTGACAGCATCAGATGGTTTAGACTTATCATCACGTCGTTTTAATGGAGATCTGTTAAGATTTGAGATTCCTCCCAAACGCCCACTGACTATGATAGGAGTCTGTCACGGGACCGGAGAAGAGTTGTAAGCTTCTTAAGGCTGTATTGTATAAACCGGAGCGGAATAAACATAGGCACCCCAGAAATCTTGGGTATGTTTTGAGAACAAGGGTCTAATAATTAAAAGAAAATTCCAACTATGACTCCTGTTTAAGACATTTTCTTCCTGGGACAACGCAAAATCAGGAGTTTCACTTCCACTGAATTTTCAGCTGGGCGGAGGGGAAGGGAGAGAAAAGGCCCCTCTCTCCAGACGAATAGAAGGCCTACGATGAGGAGGAGGGACAAACCTTTTTCACAGTTTTAACCACAAATAAAAGTGCAGGAAGTGTTCAAGTAGGGTGTTAAAGGGTTTAGGCAGCAAGGGTGGCATTTTGGCTTGGTCATCTTTTTGAAGCTCTCCGAGGATCTCTCCCATTACTTATTGTGCTTTGAGGGGGGCGGGCATTGTTAGATGGCACCGGAGGAGGAGGGGGGGCACCACGTCCGCCAGCCCTCCCAGTACCTGCATAGGAGGGGGCATGGTTATAGGCAGTTGATGAGCCGCTCAGCTCCGGTCCCGCTGGCAAACCATTCCCTAAAAAATAAATAATGAGAGAGAAAGAGAGAGAGAAGAGAGATGGCATTAGACATTCCAAGTTCTCAGCCTTACACTCCCATCCGTTCTTCACATTTTAAAGCAGCCTTGTCCTCCTAATCGGGAAATATGTTTGACAAAAGGTTGACAAGAGCTGGGAAGACATCTGTGGGGAACATAAGTCTCAAGGGCGCGCCAGCATTTTCAGACACCACACAATGGTAACCAAGGTGCAGAGGAAGCCAGCCTCTACACGTCTATGCAACTCAGCAGCCTCTTCTTAGAGCTGTTTGAACTGCGAGTGAAAAAATTGTGTTTAGACCACTATGGCTGACCTATAAGTTGACACAGCCGCTCAAACAAAAAGGAAGAATGGAAAAAGGAATCAAGGAAGCATGGGATTCATCATCACCAATCCTCACTAAGTCATTTTGTAACACAACAACTTACAGGAGGCGCACACAGCCACAGAGGGGATTTATTTTGTCACAACCACCACAACGTGAGAAAAATTGTCTTGTGGTCTGGCTCTGGACAGGATAGTTCTTCTGAGCTAGCAGCAACCAAATACTGACACTTCCCACCAACCCTGCAAAAGGCCATCTGTTGACCTCACCATGGTGCCATTTGATAAAATAGTTGGCCATTTGGGCTACAGCCAAACGAAAACAGCCTCTACACTGTGTGGAGGATGGTGAGTAAGAAACATGCTGGTGGGAAAAGGTATGAGCAAAACAATAAAAGAGGCAGGGAGACTCACCAGAAAACAAAGAGAGATAATATGTTTGGAATATATATGCTGGAAAAAGCCAAGATTGCAAAGGGAAGCAACTGGAAAATCTGTTCGTCTGGAAGTACCAGTTCATATCCACATCTAAAATGGTTGAAGCCAGCAAAGGAAACTGTGGACCTTCCAGATGTTGAACTACATCCTCCAGCATTCCTCACAATTGGGAATGCTGGCTAGAGCTACCAGGAGCAACAACATCTGGAGGGCTGGATAAACAGCAGACTATTGAAATAAGCCAACATAAACCCATGTGCTTTGATCTGAGTTTGTTTCTATAAGCCTGTTTAAACTAAGCAGCATAGTATTCCTAAACCTCATTTCCAAAAATCACTCTGTCCCCTTTTTCTGTGGGCAAACACATACTCTTACTTACCAGCGGGCCCAAAAGTACAAGTACCCACATTAGTTGATGGAAGGGAGTTATTACTCTGCTCACCCTGTGCCTTTAAAAGAAATGTAAAAGAGACAAATATTCAGACAAACAATGTATTTATCAGCACAGAAAGCAACCCAAGGGTTCCCAGAGACAATTCTTTCAACAGATCCTGGGACATTTTAATTATACTATTTGATATAACTATCACCTATTCTAATTATGGATTATGTTTTGAGTTATAATATGTCTTGTGCTTTATTTTTTTTCTTTTTATTCTGTTTTGTTGTACTTGCCATTTAACTTTTAAATTGTTGTGTGTTTATCATTATTTGTATTCCTTTTTCCGTGTTGTAAACCAGTCCGAGTCCCCTTGGAGGAGTGGGGGGGGGGGATATAAATAAAAGTTTTATTACTATTTATTAACAGAGACCCAAGTTTCCCTTAGTAAGGTAGATTTTGCCCCATTTTTTAAAATGCCCATCTCCTCCCATGCAGGAGTGTAGCAAAAACTACACTTAAAGAATTGCATAAGTAAATGGTGGGAAACATGTATGACCTATTCAGTTATTGCTGGACTCCTTTTTGCCTTTGCCAGCTGGGGACAAACAGAAGACAGCTCTTCATGTGCATGTCTGAAGCAGCACACAGCTGACATACCGCTTTGGTGGACTGCCCAAGATGGTCCGAGTTGGGTTCACTGAAGTTGGGCACTTCTGAGTACACCATGCAGAACCTGTAAAGCAAAACATACTCATGAGAGACCTAGTTACCAAAGCATCCTTGTTTTTCCCAAAAGTGGACAGGGGTGTACACAATCCCCATTTCTGCCCCACTAATAAGGTTCATGTTGGGTGGTTGGCTTCATCAGTAGGACACTTATCCAATCCTAAGAATGCCAACTGAGGAATCCTATCAAAGTATCCAAATATGTTACAGTTCTGGACACAATGAAGTCCCCTTGCTACTTCTTTAACCGAACAATAGCCAAATGCTGGCTCTCTTTAATCTTACAACTGAAGTGGGCAACTGCAGCATAGTATTCCTAAACATCTTCCAGAAGTTGGACCATGGCTCCCATCAGGCCTAGTCAGCATAACCAACACAAGGGATGTGAGGGTTGCATTTAAACAACCCCTAGATCAAAACAGCCCAGCACTGCTGTCCATATTTCGTTCAAAGCGAGTGTCATTATTTTTAGCATGTCTGAACGAAGAAGCCACCCGAATAAGTTTGACAAGCAATATTGAAGGCAAGGATGAGGGAACCTAAGATGAGGTTCTGAGTAGGGCTGGAGAACCTATATCTCTATAGGTACTAATGAACTATGCCTGTCACCATGTTGGAGCATTAGTAATACTGGCCAGGACCTCTGATGTCTAACAAAAGATAGTGGTGCCCCATTCCTGGTTTAATGAAACATTAACTCCTGGTCTGTAACTACTACTTGAATCTTTCAAGTTCCATAAAACATCGCTTCAGGTCATGTTATACTGTGGATAAAACCTTAAAATGTCTATGACCTTGTTGAACAATATGTTTATAATCCCGAGGGGAAAGAAATAGTTCCAAATCTACTCTCGAGTAGTAAGTGTTAAGTGACCATCAGCTCAGCAGGCATCTCTTGTACAATATCCACAAAATCCATAAGCATTAGAGAAGATCCATAGCTGATTCCCATTCCTTGTATGGATGCTGATCCAATTAAAAATGTACAGCAGCACCTCAGCCTGTCATGTACAGTATGGCCCCCATATATGCAGGGAAATACGACCCAAGATACACATAACCCACATGTACCAAAACCCAGATTACAGAAAACCCTGTATTTTGACTCTGTTTGAACTGAACACATACCATAGAACAGAAACACTTCCCGGAGAGAATATTTTTCTGACTGTAAAACCATGTAGGGACTCACGCTGTACAATGCCTATTCCCACTAAAATCAAAACTAGCAAATGATTCCAGAAATATGCTTGAATCCTCCAAAATCTCAAAATGTTATCCAGAAACCACCTCCTTTTCTGAACATTAGTATCAGCCATTTCTAGAGTTGTTCTAGGACCTTTCTACACTGCCATATAAATTCCAGATTATCTGCTGTGAACTGGATTATACGGCAGTGTAGACTCATATAATGCAGTTCAAAGCAGATAATGTGGATTACCTGATTTGATAATCTGCATTATATGGCAGTGTAGAAGGGGTCATAGTGAGATGGTTATTACTATGTTTATTTATACGCAGCTTTATCTCTCCACAAGGAGATTCATTTTCAAACATAATGTACCTGCTTGTGCGTATGTTAATCTCCAGCAATGAGTCATATTTTCCTTTTTTAAATGTAAGATGAAAACATTGAAGGTTTTCCTTTTAAAAAATGAATAAACAAAGGCCATTCTTTGCCCAACAGGCCATAAAGACAGCCATGCAAATCCCTTTGATAGTATTTTTTAAAGTATTTCATGCCCCACCTTCAGAAAATATTGCATTTGATATGTCAAGAGCTATGAATGCCTCATACACATTATTATTTCTGTAATGACTCATTGACACATCCAGCCAATTGTGGGATATTGCAGTCATCAGTAGATAAACACATCTGTGTGGACCAATCCCTAGAGTAATGCATTTACATTTCCAAAGGCACTGAATTGGCTGCTTTGAAATTTGTATCTCAGGTTTCCACAGAAGATCATTTTCCATGTTAGAGAAGCAAAGCAACAGCGTCATTCTTGATACATAAAAGCCGCATTCTCCGGCTCGACAACATCTAGATCAGTGGTTCCTGACCTTTGGTCCTTTGGTCCTCCAGTTGTTTTGGGCTTCAGCTCCCATAATTTCTAACCGCTGGGTAAGCTGGCTGGGATTTCTGAGAGTTGAAGTCCAAAAAAAGTGAAGGACTAAAGCAGTGGTTTTCAACCTGTGGGCCCAAGGGTGTTTTGGCCTACAACTCCCAGAAATCCCAGTCAGTTTACCAGCTGAGAGTTGAACATCTCCTTTGTCTGCTCCCCTAAAATGTTTGTCCCCATAGTGTATTTCCCCGCTTGCTCAAAGTCCTGTCTCCAGCACACTGTTTCCAATTATTCTCCCACACAAATATTTTTCATTCCATTTCTATCTCATCATGAGTTTTTATCATTTTATCTTGTTCATGTGCCCCGCTCATTGTGACTGTATTTGCACTGTTTTATTGTATTCTTATGTTTTATTTACTTTATTGCGATGTTTGTTTTGTGTTTTTGGTTTTATTTTGTTGTAATGCACTATTGGGCTTGGCCTCATGTAAGCCGCCCCGAGTCCCCTTTGGGGAGATGGTGGAGGGGTATAAATAAAGATGATGATGATGATTAGGCCAAAACATCTGGGGACCCACAGGGTGAGAACCACCGATCGAGATGTTTTCAATGAAAACTACCATCACGCCTAACGGTAAAGAAATTGTAGGGCTTCCACACAGCCCTATAACCCAGAATATCAAGGCAGAAAATCCCACAATATCTGCTTTGAACTGGCTTATCTGAGTCCACACTGCCATATATTACAGTTCAAAGCAGATATTCTTGGAAATAGAGCTGTGTGGAAGGCCTGTAGTCGAAGCATTTGAGAACAGTCACAGACCCATAACTAATCTTATTGTTGCCTGCCATAGCATTGCACTTAATTCCCGGGCCCCCTAGAATTTTTGGGCAAGCACAAATCTTGGCCTGGCCTTTTAAATTTTTTAATTGCCTTGAACAGGCAGGATTACTTTTAATATATGTGTGTTATGGTGACAATTTTTATGCTTATATTGTTTTGTTAATCTTATGGTTATGTTGTTTTACTTTGTATGTTTTGTGATGTTACCTGGGAACCGCTCTGAGTCCCCTCGGGGAGATGGAACGGTATATAAATAAAGTTTTATTATTATTATATTAAGGCTGCCTTAATGCCTGGATGTGGATCAAGGAATCTCTGGGCTTCCAAGTAGCTTGGACTTCAAAACCTAAGAGAACCATCCAGAATGGCCAATGGTGAAGGATTGTGGAGGTTGCAGTCCAAAATACAAGCAAGGTGAACCATTCCAACTTCTGGATTAGACCATCATCACAAGTCCCAAGAAACTCTGCTAGACAGAGGGGGAAATTTACCTTTACACCCCTAGAGAGGCAGGCTCCTCCAAGACAGGCCGGAGCTCATGACCAGAGTAGGATGCGGAAGCTCGCATTGCGGCTGCCTCTACCGTACCTGGCCTGTGGATAAATAGAGGACTTCAGTTTTCAGACCTGCAAGTCCTTGAAAGCAATAACTGCATTAACCTAGCAAAGGAGACAGCTTACATGGCTAAAACTTACCTGTTGACAGTTCTAGCCGGGAGAAATTGAGGCCACGTGGCATCTTTTATAAGCAAGCACACGTAGCATTCCCAAACACAAGTGTCAAGAATAAATCTCTCTGGAAGACTTATCCAACACAACACCATAAAGCAGGAACAACAGGCAATTATTCATGTAACCCGAGGCCTGGTGGCAACGTGTCATACCTACCATCGCAGGCTGCCCAGCACAAGGCTGCAAGCAGGCGTACCAAGTTATGTGCAAAATGAGATACTCACTCCCCAATTTTTTGAAGCTCTCCTCCCCTTCCAGTGTAAAGCGTAAGGCATCCTTTCCACAGAGATGCATACCTAACCAAAAGAGCACCAGCAGCATTAGAAGCAGTGGAAGTTCGACAGAAGAAAAGGCAGGACACAACCCAGCTAAAGTGGAGCACATCTTCAGCTCATCACATTGGGATGTGAAGTACATGATCCACCGAAACCAATGGGATTTTGAAATGCTCAGCTTTAGATGGGACATGCCAGATTTGTCCAACAGACAGGTTTGATCATCCATTAGAGAGAAGATCCCTGTACATTTGTGTTCCTACGGTTTTGGTGCACGGCAGTTTTCTTCGTGGCCTGCTCATTATAGCCACTGGTACAAATGTTGGCTCTGCAGAGCTCACACGTGTCATTTTTACTACAGCCATGTCAATATCAAATTTAATTGATTTTTTAACAAACGAGTGGGAAGCATGTCACTCCAAATATTGTTGGATAGCAATTTCCAGCACTCCTTAGCACTCTGTAATCACATTATTCCCACTATCTCTGTTTTAGTATGAGACTAAGGGTCTTTCCATACAGCAATAACCCAGAATATCAAGGCAGAAAATCCCACAATATCTGCTTTGAATTGGGTTATCTGAGTCCACACTGCCATATATTCCAGTTCAAAGCAAAAAATGTGAGATTTTATTCAGCTATGTGGAAGGGGCCTAGGAAACATAATTCAGCTTCCACAAGCCCCAAGTAGCCTGACGAATGTGATGGGAATAGTAATAGTTCACCAGTAATGATTCCTTCTGACAGATTATACTATGTAACAAAATTTGAAAAAATACATTCCTATTTTGAAAGTGATCTTTCAAAGACAGTTCCATCTTGTCTCCTGTGTTTTATAATATTAAATAAATATTTATAATATTATAATGTAATACAATATACTAATAATACAATATTATGATTATATATTTTATTAATACATGTAATATTACTAATAACATTACAATATAATGTAGTACAATATAGTAATATATAATACTGATATTGTACTATGCTAATAATTTAATATTTTGTATGGATATATATTTTATAAGCCACTCTGAGTCCCCTTCGAGGTGAGAAGGGCGGCATATAAATGTCATAAATAAATAATAAACAAATTTCCCATTTAATTGTGCAGCACTTACTTTGAAAGTAGTCATTATACTCCAGAAACTTTGTTTTTATGGCCACCACAAACTATGTTGAGACTCTGAGATCTTCATTGAAAAAACTATAGCAAAATGTGCTGCAGGATGTCCCGCACAAACTAAGTTTTTGCAGTTTAAGACACTTTTTCCATGTTTTTCTGATAGAACCAATTAGAAATGCTATTTATAACCCAGGAACAAAAATCGTGTTACATACTGTTATCAAAATTTAAGCATAGTACTTTTTATTTTTTTTTATTTAATCACAAAACTAAACAGCTTTGAAATAGTCATGAACAACTTAATTTGCTGATAGTAAGAAGGGAATAAGCTATATTGTGCCTTTGATCTTCTAATACACCAAGGCGTCAGTCACAAATATAGGTATGGAAGCAACAGAAGCAGCCATGACTGCATTTTACACCAAATTCAAGAACTGTCTCCAATAATGGGTTGTTGTGAGTTTTCCATGCCGTATGGCCATGTTCCAGAAGCATTCTCTCCTGATGTTTAGCCCACATCTGCAGCATGCACCCTCAGAGGTTGTGAGGTCTGTTGGAAACTAAACAGTGAGGTTTGTATATTTGCATATCTGTGGTATGGGGTTTATATATGATTGGGCGAAACATTAGGGGGGAACGCTTCTGGAACATGACCATGGAGCCTGGAAAACTCACAGCAACCCAGTGATTCTGGCCACAAAAGCCTTTGACAACACATTGTCTTCAACAGCTTTTACAATCAATAATCTCCTTCCTGATGTTTAGGTTTGAAGGATCCTCCTTCCAAACATTCTTAGCCATGTGCCATCATGATACCTTTTGACACATCTTAACAACTTATTTGTGAATTGTATTGCCTTGGGCAAAATGACTTACCATACCAGTCAGTCTGATGGAAGCATTCCCAGTGGTTAACCAATGATGTAAGTCATAAGCACATTGGTTGCTCAAAAAAATAAGGTATTTAAATCTAGATGGAGATGTGCACTTTTACATGGAAAAACCTGCCAGATAGCTTTCCGAAAAATATAGGTTCTCTGTGCCCCAGTGCGCTCTCCACAAATAACGAACATCTAGCAAATTTGATTTGTAAGGGAGAAGGATGATATTCTACTTTAGGAGTAAACGTTGCTGCTCAGGGATAGTATCTTTTTCGACTTTGATATCTTTCCAATTAAAACATTAAGCATTTTATAGGCCTTTGTCTAGAGAGCATAATCTTTACATCCCGTGAAATGGACAACACTTTCATGTCCACATTTCAAATGAGTGAGCGGTTGAGATGGCCCAAGGATACCCTCAAAAGGCCAAGGCTAACACAAAATGTGTAATGAAACTCAGTAATATAAAACTTATTTTGATCCAGCTTTCTAAAATAGAATGCACACATGCATTTTTCCTCTCTCAAAAAGTATGTTGGAGGCAAGTGTAAATGTTGCCATTGGCCAGCTTGATTAGCACTGAATGGCCTTGCAGCTTCAAAGCCTGGCTGCTTCCTGCCTGGGGGAATCCTTTGCTTGCCTCAAACAGACAGGAGTTCTTTCTCTCACAGATACATAAACCTCACTTGCCTAGTTTCCATGATATCTCACAACCTCTGAGGATGCCTGCTATAGATGTGGGTGAAACGTCAGGAGAGAATGCTTCTGGAACATAGCCATATAGCCTGGAAAACTCACAGCAACCCTGTGATTCTGGCCATGAAAACCTTCAACAACACATGGCAAGCCCTTCTTTTGCTTTGTCTCCTACTTACAAACACTGCACACATGTAACAGGATACGATGGGCCTTTTAGTTCTATTTCACTCCATTCTGAAGCAAGCCAACTTGCCCAAAGGGGGGGGGGGCTCTAATTAATTTAAAATTATTTAATTAATTTAAAATTAATTAAAGAGAAAAATATTAGGGGAGTATCTATTCTGTAGAATTAATTTCAGTTTAACAGAATTTTAACTGTCGTGCCTCAATACTATTCAATCATGGGAGTTGTAGTTTCACATAGTCTTTAGCTTTCTCTGCCAAAAAAGTGGTAGTACTTCACCAAACTACAAATCCCAGAAATCTATAGAATTGATCCATAACTGCATTGATGTTGTAGACCTCACTCTGTCTCACCAGGACAGGAGAAAAAAAGCAGCTTTGCTTTTTTCTAATGTGAAAAATCAACTTTAGACAGTGTTTACAAACGAAACAGACTGTGCAGGAAATGTGGGTGGGTCATTGTTTCCTCCAAGAAAGAAACCAACTTTTTAGGAAGATGCGTCATTGGCCACAGGAGACAGACAAGCAAGTCTGCATCATTGTTGCCCCAAGCCTGAAGTCATGTTTAAACCTGGGTCTGCCTCGATCATGCACTAAGCATGTATGAAATAATGTATATAGACCAGGCATGGGCAAACTTCATCCCTCCAAGTGTTTTGGACTTCAACTCTCACAATTCCCAACAGCCTATTGGCTGTTAGGAATTGTGGGAGTTGGAGTCCAAAACACCTGGAGAGATGAAATTTGCCCATACCTGACATAGACCATCCACACTGTAGAATTACGGCAGTTTGGCACCACTTCCAACTGCCATGGCTCAATGCTATGGGGTCCTGAAAGTTTAGCAAGGCAATGAAGGCTCAAGATCTTGTAGAACTACAACTCCCATGATTCCATAATATTGAGCTAACTGCATTCCTTCTACAGTGTATGTGCACCCAGGATGATCCCAATTTAGCCAAGTTCAGAGCAACCATTAAAGGCCACAAGGAAGGGTGTGGATATGGCAGGCTATGCCATCATCTCCATCAATCAAAAAATCCCATGCTCACGGCCCTGCAAGCGCTGGCTCCATTACAACAGGATTCCTATGGATGGATCTTATTTGGTGAGCAAAACATTCCTACTCCCTTGGCCTTCCCTTCTGCACTAATTGCAATTGCAAAAGAGAGGAAGGCACGCTGTGAGTCAGATCCGGAAGGAGTTAACAGGAACTTTTGGCGGAGACGTTCCTCCAGCAGGTCATAATGACTGCCTGGCCCAGCTTCACTTTGTATCTATGTATTTTATGTGTATTATGATACGTTTGTATCTTAATTATGTTGTACCTTGCTTCAAGTAGAGGCAAGTAATAAATAAAATTTTATATATATATATATATATAAATTTTGTGTTGTCAAAGGTTATATATATATAATTTTGTGTTGTCAAAGGTTTTCATACCTGGAATCACTGGGTTGCTGTGAGTTTTTCAGCCATGTTCCAGAAGCATTCTCTCCTGATGTTTCGCCCTCATCTATGGCAGGCATCCTCATAGGTTGTGAGGTCTGTTGGAAACTAGGAAAATGGGGTTTATATATCTGTGGAATGTCCAGGGTGGGAGAAAAACTCTTGTCTGTTGGAGGTAGGTGTGAAGGTGGCCAAATGAAACATTCACACTTGCCTCGTAGCTTCAAAGCCTGGCTGCTTCCTGCCTGGGGGATTTGTTGGGAGGTGTGAGCTTCCCTGATTGTTTCATGCCTGGAATTCCCATTTTCTGAGCATTGCTCTTTATTTACTGATTTTAGAGGGGGTTTTTGATATTCGTAGTCAGATTTTGTTCATTTTCTTGGTTTTCTCCTTTCTGTTGAAAATGTTGAAAACTTACTTTCTCAAGGACTACGAGATAACCAAGTAGCACTCAGACTTGCAATATTCTTTGTGTGGTTTATATGCAGTGTATTTACATGGTTTATGTTAACATAGTTCTGTTTGGATAACAGTTTGCAACTTGTATTTTGTCAAGAATAAATCAGGGCCAGCTAACACCTCCCAACAAATAATTCCCCCAGGTAGTAAGCAGCCAGGCTTTGGAGCTGCAAGGCCATTCAGTGCTAATCAAGCTCGCCAATTGAAACACTCACACTTGATCTTAGCCAAAAGGCCGAGTGCTGGTCAATGACCAAAATAAATGATTTGATTTATTGATTGATTTGATTTATTGACTGATTGACATTCACACTTGCCTCAAGCAGACGAGAGTTCTTTCTTCCACCCTGGACATTCCACAGATATATAAACCCCACTTGCCTAGTTTCCACAGACCTCACAACCTCTGAGGATGCCTGCCATAGTTGTAGGTGAAACATCAGGAGAGAATGCTTCTGGAACATGGCCATATCACCCAGAAAACTCACAGCAACCCATTATTACTATCCTTCCATCCTGCCCACGTGACCTTACCCTTTAGTCAATCGAATAATGTCACCCGGCTGGATGAGGCTGCCAAGTTCATCCCATACGGAGATGGTGATGCTGCCCGTCTTGTCGGCCACTTTGCAGGATCTCACCTCGTGCCCGTCTTTGGTTTTGGTAACTCGCCCTGAAAGGAGAATTTTTAAAAATGGGGGGGGGGGGGGAAGAGAGAAAAAAGAGGGGGGGGAGAGAGGAAAGCAGTCTCAAATATTAGTCCAAGTCGCCCCATTAATTTCATAATTAAGTAAAGCAATCTCAGGGGTGATTTTACTGAAATATACAGGGTGTTCCATAAAGTCTCCGTACTGTTTCTCATTGAAAGTCTCTTTAGAGCAGTGTTTCTCATTTTTTTTTTGGGGGGGGGGGTCACAAGGGAATGTCAGAGGGTTGCCAAAGTCCACCAGAAAAAAACAGTATTTTCTGTTGGTCATGGGGGCTCTGTGTGGGAAGTTTGATTCAATTCTATCATTGGTGGAGTTCAGAATGCTTTGATTGTCGGTGAACTAAAAATTCCAGCAACTACAACTCCCAAATGTCAAGGTCTATTTCTCCCAAACTCACATTTGGGCATACTGAGTTTTTATGTCAAGTTTGGTCCAGATCCATTATTGTTTGAGTCCACAGCTCTCTGTGAATGTAGGTGAACTACAACTCCCAAACTCAAGGTCAATGCCCACCAAACCCGTCCAGTATTTTCTGTTGGTCATGGGAGTTCTGTGTGCCAAGTTTGGTTCAATTCCATCGTTGGTGGAGTTCAGAATGCTCTTTGATTGTAGGTGAACTATAAATCCCAGCAACTACAACTCCCAAATGACAAAATCAATCCCCCCTCCACCTCACCAGTGTGTGTATCAGGTATTTGTGCCAAATTTGGACCAATGAATAAAAACACACCCTGCAGATCTGATATTTACATTACAATTCATAACAGTAGCAAAGTTACAGTTTTGAAGTAGCAACAAAAATAATGTTATGGTTGGAGGTCACCACAGCATAAGGAACTGTATTAAGGGGTCATGGCATTAGGAAGGTTGAGAAACACTGGTTTAAAGGCTGAGGGTCTGGGGCCCTTTTTAGGACATTGGGGCTCTTTCAAAGTTTCCTCAAGGACGAAACAAAAGTGACTTTGGAAGAACAATGACAACATATTCTGTGTGCGAGTGTGTGGGGACTCTTCAACGGGCAGAATGGGGAACAAGCATATGCCAGAACCAGAGTTGGATGTCAAGGTGGGGAAAAAGGCAAGTAGAGGGTTATTTAAGGTCAAGGAGCAGAGAAAGGAAGGAAGGAAAGAAGAGGGAAGAAAAGAAGAAAGGAAGGGGGAGGGGGAAGGGAAGGGAGGAAGGAAGGGAAAAGGAAGGAAGAAAAGGAAAGAAAGGAAGGAAGGAAAGAAGGAAGGAAGGAAAGAAGGAAGGAAGGAAAGAAGGAGGGAGGAAAGGAAGGAGGAAAGGAAGGAGGAGGAAAGGAAGGAAGGAGGAGGAAGGAAGGAAGGAAGGAAGGAAGGAAGGGGAGGGAGGAAAAGGAGGAAGGAAAGGAGGAAGGAAGGAAGAAGAAAGGGGAAGGAGGGAGGGAGAAGGAAGAAAAGAGGGAGGGAAGGAAGGGGGGGGGGAGGAGGAAGGAGGGAAGGAGGAAGGAAGGAGGGAAAGGAGGGAGGGAGGAAAGGAGGGAGGGAGGAAGAAGGGGAAGGAGAAAGGAGGGAGGAGGAAGGAGGGAGGAAGGAAGGAAGGAAGGAAGGAAGGAAGGAAGGGAAGGAAGGAAAGGAAGGAAGGGAGGGAAGGAGGGAGGGAGGAAGGAAAGGAGGGAGGGAGGGAGGAAAGGAGGAAGGAAGGAAGGAAGGAAAGAAGGGAGGGAGGAAAGGAGGGAGGGAGGGAGGAAGGAAGGGAAGGAAGGAAGGAAAGAAGGAAGGGGGGAGGAAGGAAGGAGGAAGGAGGAAGAAAGAAAGAAGAGAGAAGAAGGAAAGGGGAGGAAGGAAGAAGAAAAAAGGAAGGAAAGAAGGAAAGAGGAGAAAGGAAAGGAGAAGGAAGAAAAGGAAGGAAAGAAGGGGGCAGGAAGGAAAGAAAGAAAGAAAGAAGGAAAGAAGGCAGGCAGGAAAGAGGTGGGGCCGGGAAGAGACTTTTTTCCTAGGGAAAGTGACCACGTGTCACCCATCCCCAGACACACATCCCCACACACACACCCAGACCCTGATCCAGGAAAGGGATAGGAAGGGGCCACCCCGGTGAAGGCGCTGGGGTGGTTGCCCTGGGTGTTTCCCCCTGCCCCCCTCTGCCCCCAACTTACCTATCTCCAGCACAATAAAGACGACATTTAAGTTTTTCAGTCCGGGCTTTATGTCTTTTATGAAGAGGTAGGTCTCATTGGCCAGGCTCATGCTGCTCTGCTCAAGAGGAGGAGGAAGAGGGAGCAGGACAAAGCATCCCTTGGCAGGGGAAGGAGGGAGGGAAGCAAGGGGGGGGGGGGGGGGACCACAATAATCAATATTATTATATCCCCCTATACTATAATAATAGTGTATATTTATTAGAGAGGGGGATCTCAGCCCCGATTTGAAGGCACAAGAGGCTCCCCTCTCCCTCGCTGAGGCTAAGGCTTCTCCCCACTTTGTTAAGAAGGGGGGATCTAAGGCTAGAGGAGGGGCAAAAAGGGGGAGCAGTGGTTGGACTGTTTTTGGCGTGGTTTCAGCAGCTGCCACTGGAAGCGGGGGCGGACCCACTCCCCCTGCTTCTCTAAAGAAGCTCCTTCTGTTATTCCACAAGGCAGTGGCTCCCCCCTCTTGGTGTCTGCTTTTCCCCACCCTACACAACTCTCTGCGCATGCGCACGCCTCCCTCCTTGCAAAGCGCTCCTCTCTGTCTAAGGCGAGCATGTGGCGGCGCTCGCCTTTTATACCCAAGTGGGCTAAACCATTCACTCCGCGCGGGGGGAGAAACGCAGGAAGGGGAGCCGCCCATAAAGAACGACGGGAGGGGTGATTTGAAGGTTTAAAAAAAAAAACACGGTCGTGAAATCTTCCCCGGTTTGTTTGTCCCCGCGTGGCTTCTAAGAGGAGAGGGGCGAGGGGAGGAAATCCAAGGGAGGAGCAAAGAGGGACCATCTCCCCCTTTCTAGGGAATGGACGCGCCCATGGAACGCGGAGGCGCCGGAGTGGAACTGAATGTAACAAGGCTCCTCGAGGGGCGAGCTCATTGGCTGGCCGGGATTCTTTTGTCCTCTGACCTAGAATATTTACAGGCGCTTCCCTCGCCAGCCTCCCTTTTGCTTCTTCGCCCGAGATCATTGTCAGGGAGGCTGAGCATGAGTGGGGAAGGGATCTCCAACACACACAAACATGGATACACAGCCTCGGATCCTAAATACATAGGCTTATGTCTAGCCCATCTCATGCAGATCTGTACACCCAGTGCAGCTATCAATATTATATATGAAATGTATATCACTGCATGTGTGTGTGTGTATATATATTTGTATACACTAGCCATTTCCTGCCACACGTTGCTGTGGTCCACATGGGGGTTCTGTGTGGGAGGTTTGGCCCAATTCTATCGTTGGTGGTGTTCAGAATGCTCTGTGATTGTAGGTGAACTATAAATCCCAGCAACTACAACTCCCAAATGTCAAGATTCTATTTTCCCCTAAACTCCACCAGTGTTCACATTTGGGCATATTGAGTATTCGTGTAGAGTTTGGTCCAGATCCATCATTGTTTGAGTCCACAGTGATCTCTGGATGTAGGTGAACTACAACTCCAAAACCAAAGGACACTGCCCACCAAACCCAGTATTTTCTGTTGGTCATGGGAGAACTGTGTGCCAAGTTTGGTTCAGTTCCATCGTTGGTGGGGTACAGAATGCTCTTTGATTGTAGGTGAACTATAAATCCCAGCAACTACAACTCCTAAATGACAAAATCAATTTTTTTGAGTGAAGGACATACATTGGGTTGTTAGGTGTCTTGTGTCCAAATTTGGTGTCAATTCGTCCAGTGGTTTTTGAGTTCTGTTAATCCCACAAACAAACATTACATTTTTATTTGTATATATCTCCCCCCCACACACACACACACACACATATATAGCTTGATTGCTATATTCTATTTGAGTGTATATCTACTGCAGAGAGATACTTACAAGAATATATGCATGCACTGTATCCTGTGTGTGTGTGTGTGTGTATCTATATAAATAAAAATGTAATGTTCGTTTGTGGGATTAACATAACTCAAAAACCACAAATTGACACCAAATTTGGACGCAATACACCTATCAAGCCAACAAGTAACCATCACTCATAAAAACACAGTGGAACACACTTTAAAAGTCAAAAAACAAATACAAAACATTACAATGCATGCACAAAACACACACATATATACACACAAATATATACACACATATATGAACTATAACTCCCAAACTCAAGGTCAATGCTCACCAAACCTTCCAGTATTTTCTGTTGGTCATGGGAGTTCTGTGTGCCAAGTTTGGTTCAATTCCATCGTTGGTGGAGTTCAGAATGCCCTTTGATTGTAGGTGAACTATAAATCCCAGCAACTACAACTCCCAAATGACAAAATCAAAGTTTTGAGTGATGGTCACTTCTTGGTCACTCTCCTGTATGAAGGCCGTCCTCGACCCAATTCCAGAATAATCTGATCCATTGCTGTCTCACCCCTTGTTTTTAGTATTAGTATTTTATTCTGTACATGCAGCCCGCCTACTGTTCTGAATTTGTTCTGTCATGAATGATTTTATTGCAATTTTATATTGGTTTCTGTACGCTTGTGGTTTATGTTTTATGTAATTTATTATGTTGTTGTTTGTATTGATTTCATTTATTGTATTGGGTTTTTGGGCTTGGCCTCATGTAAGCCGCCGCGAGTCCCCGTTGAGGAGATGGTGGTGGGGTACAAATAAAGATTATTATTATTATTATTATTATTATTATTATTATTATTATTATTATTGGGTTAATAGGTGTCTTGTGGCAAAATTTGGCAGCAATTCATCCAGCGGTTTTTGAGTTATGATGTCACTCAAAACAAACCACATTTATATATATATAGATACACACACACAGACACACACACTATTTCTTCAATCTCTAAATCTCACTTTTTTCCTATATAATGATCTCTAAAAATGGGGTGCATTTTGGAATCACAAGTGTTATCTTATCAATCTTTGGTGGAGTGGAAATACTGAAATTAGGGTGCATCTTACAATTGATGTCTTACGGTTCAAAAAATATAGTATGTGTGTGTGTATGCATGCTTAGATAGTTATGTATGTATGCGCTTGAATATATATGCATGAGCTGGTCTCTCTCTCTCTCTCTCTCTCTCTCTCTCTCTCTCTTGCATATATAGGTTGGGTGTCCCTTATCCAAAATGCTTTGGACCAGAAGTAATTTGTATTTCAGATTTTTATAAGAATTTGGATTATCAGTAATTGCATATATGTAATGAAATGTCTTTGGAGTTGGGACCCAAGTTTAAACATAACATTCTTTAAGGTTTCATATACTCATTATAGCCTGAAAATAATTTTATACACAATATTTTTTTCTGATTTTGCACATGAAATCAAAATTATGTATGCTTAAGCATCAGAAAATGAGGCATCACTCTCTTAGTCACCTATGGGAACAATTTTGGATTTTGGAGTATTTTAGATTTCAGAGTTCTAGAATATGAAATAATAAATAAATAAATAGTATTGCATGAACTGTAAGATGTCATCAATTCTAGAGAAGGGCTGCTCAAATTTCTGATAAGGGAGGTGTGTGTGTGTGATTTACTCACAATATTGTATTATAAATATATGTGCTGATAAAAGCTGCACATAGATACATTTGAAAGCAGAGTAGAAGAGAGATTCAAAAGTGTCCTGTAGTCCAAAAGGAAAAGCAATGAAACTATTACTATAAACTATTGCTATTACTATTAACTATTACTATTAAAAGTAGCTGCAGCTTTGTTTGTGCTTGTTATGTCTGCAAACTCAAGAATGCTCATATTTGAAAAGCAAATGCCTAGACACCTGGGTAGAGGAAGATCCATAACTTCTTGGATTTTTGTCAGGCTTTGCCTTGCATTTCTTTGCTTACTTGTAAGTTACAACTGCTATGTGCGGTTCACTCTTCAGCAAGCATGTGTAGCCTTGCAGTTTTAGATGACATTACTACCTACATGGCTGATTTTACCATCAACTATTTAGGCTGATATTAAACATATGATAGTATGTGTGTGTGCAATGGACCCTTGGTATCCACGACCTTGGTCCTCATGAATACCAAAATCTACTCTCAAGCCCCATTAGGAACAGTCTCCCTTATAAAAGAATGGCAAAATCCAGGTTTGCTTCTTGAATATATGTGTGTGTGTGTGTGTGTGTGTGTGTGAATATTTTCAAGATGTAGATGCTTTAATCCATGGATAAGGAGAGCTGACAGAACATGCTTTCAAGTCGCCCGTAGATTTATGATGAGCACATGAATTTCCCAGAAAAGGAGTACGCAGAGTTGATTTTTCCAGTTTCTCCCTCAGAAAGTACAGCCCCAAAGCACCAGGTTTTCTTTGGCAATCTCCCATCCAAAAATTAACCAGGCCTGACCCCGCTTAGCTTCCAAGATCAGATAGAATCTGAGACCTTTGGGGTATTTAGATGTTTCCAAAATGTTCAGTAGGTATATAACCAGCAGCTGCTCTATATTTTTGAATTGGCTCCTGGAATATTTGTGGACTGTTTCTTCCTTCGTTATTTTTAACCTCATTTAAAAACATTATTGCTTCCCAACACTTTTGACATTTTTGTACAATACTGTTTTATAGACAGGAATGTTTTGAACACATGTGTGTTTGTCAGTTTGCTTTGTATTATATTCTTGTTGTTACTGCAGCCATTAAGCTTGTTTGGCCTGTTTAAGTAAATAAACAACATTTTCCTGTTTTGAACCAACTGATGTCTCTGTGTGCCTTTCATACATTTTAAATAAAGGAGGTGGCCTGTGGTAGTAATATTATTGGTATCAGCAAGTATAGCCTTAAATAAATATAAAGGGGTCAGCGTCCTTTACATTTTTGTGGTATTTGATGGATCTCTATTATACGGCCCACTGATAGTGTGTGTACACCTTACATTTTTGGTGGCAGCAATGGGATTGCTGTAATAGTGGACAGAGTCCTTTACAAGCATCGTGGGATGGTGGGTGTTTGAGTCCGTTGGAAACTAACAAAACCTGCACATTCAGACACCAAGGGATGAAGTCATTTATAAGACCCTTTTATCCAGGACTGGCTTGGAGCCTAGGGACCTCATCACATTGATAGGGTCCTGCAGGGCAATTCACCAGCCTCTGTGGCAAATCAGTGGGATGGCAGGATAGCCCTTGCACCCACACCTTGCCTGCAGCTATTCTTCCCCATCACACATAGGGAAACATTGCCCCCCCCCATGCTGGCCCCGGTCTCTACAGGATGCTTCCTCCATGGAACCCCACTGAAAGTTGCCATGTGTCGTGTGATGGCATCTGGTGGGCTCCAAGGAAGAAGCATCCTGACATCTTGCTGGGATTCTGATTTCACTTCATTTGATGAGGTCATAGGTCATACCCTCAAACATTTCATGAATGAAAACAGGAACATGCTGTGGTCAAGCAACGCTGGCATGACCAACGTTATTAGCAAGGATGAACAGACCAGCTAGGAAAGGTTGCAGCAGTTTGCTTTTGGCTAAGCCTTCTGGAAAGGGAAAGAATTGTCCCTTCTTCTCTTTCCACTGCTCAGTAAACTGAATGCAAACTACTTTTGTATTTTGAAGTCAGTTTGCAACAACTGAAGTAAGCTGAAAGGGGAAAAATAATAGGAGGATAGAGATTATAAGTGAGAGTGTTCCTTCAAAATCTGGATAGTTGGAGGGTAGGCTTTCTGTTTACTGTTTTTGCTAAACATAGCATCTCAGCATGTAGTTAGATACCAAGATAACGCCATGGCTGTTCAGTTTTGCACATTAAGAAATGAAAAGAGTGATCTGATTCAAAGATCCTCCACAGGAAGAATAAAAAAATGTTTTATTTGCAACGTTTTGTTCAAAAAGGAGCTAAATATTTTACTCTTACCTGTTGGATATTTGACCTCGACGCCCCTTTGAGAGTTCAGATTTCCCTTATTGCCAGGCCAATTATTTTGCCAAAAGATAAAACCAGCTGCCTTTATTATATTCATTAGCACTCCAGGGCCAGTATTTACTAACGTAAGATATTTCAAACCCTTCATCTTTTTTCTTTCACACTGATGTCCTATTTACATAATCTAAACAGTTCAAACTCCCTAGAATATTACATTTTTGGCACAAATGGGTTCAGTACTTCAGAATCAATCAGAAAATTGTTTTTAAAAACATTTCAAAAGTAAAGGAAATTCTCAAAGAAATTCCGAAACTCCTAAGAGGCCACAGAGGTTAAAAACAACTGTGAAGCTTCAAAGCACTCAATGGTTTGTTCTTACTGCAGTAGCTACACTTTGTTTGAGCTGTATCACAGCAACTGAGTGTTCACAAGATGGAATGTGCCAAGGAATACACACCAGCATTTAGAAAAGAGACTTTTAAGATTATGATTCTAAAAAAAAACCCCAAAAATAATCCAACATGGACAATGACTGTGTCGGCTGGGGATTCTGGGAGCTGTAGAAAAAAAGTCACTTTCCAAGCCTGCTGTCCCTCTTACTCACTTGTACACCAACTATTCATTTGTTAGGCTGGTAAGAGGGGCCTGAACCTATTTTAGTCATCCACAGAATATCTAAACCGGATGTATTAACTCTGTTCCCACAGGGTTTCAGCTGATTATGCCCAAGAAGACATAATCCATGACACTTCACGACACTTCACAATACCTGTATATGTGTAGTGATGACATCGAAGCCAGGTCCTCTGCAGGCACACGGGGAGTTAAGTCCTTGAGATGTCAATCACAATGGGGTAAAGCACTGAGTTGCAGAAAGAAAACTGAAGGCCTTTTCAGCCTTACCAGGTCATCATGTCAAAGGCTTCCAGAGGAGACAAACTTCTGAGTGACCTGGGTTACAAGCTGGGCCAGACCCTGGGGGAAGGCAGCTATTCCAAGGTGAGGGTGGCCACCTCTGCCAAATACAAAGGCCCCCTAGCCATCAAAATGGTGGACCGACGTCGGGCACCCCGTGATTTTGTTGAGAAGTTCCTGCCACGGGAGCTTTCCATCTTGCGAGGGATTCGGCACCCACATATCGTCAGGGTCTACGAGTTCATCGAAGTCTGCAATGGGACGCTCTACATTGTGATGGAAGCAGCCTCCACAGATCTGCTACAAATGGTGCAGCAAGTAGGGAAACTGCCTTGTGATCCCGAAGCCCGGGACATCTTTGCCCAGGTAGTGAGTGCTGTCCGCTACCTCCACGACCGGCATTTGGTGCACCGGGACCTCAAGTGTGAGAATGTGCTGCTCACATCCGATGGCCGGCGAGCAAAACTGACTGACTTTGGTTTTGGCAAGGAGTCCCGTGGGTATCCAGAACTGAGTACCACTTATTGTGGGTCAGCTGCCTATGCCTCCCCAGAGGTCCTTATGGGCATCCCCTATGATCCCAAAAAGTATGATGTATGGAGTTTAGGCATCATGCTGTACGTGATGGTCACTGGCTGCATGCCCTTTGACGACACCCACATCCATAGCATGCCCTATCGCCAGAAGAAAGGGGTTGCGTTCCCAGAAGATCTGCTCTCTTTATCTGAGCCCTGCAAAGTTCTTATTACTCAGCTTCTCCAGTTCAATCCAGAATCTCGGCCCTCTGTGGGACATGTATCTAAGAACTCTTGGCTGAAGGGGGAAACATAAATGGGACAGCCTTTCCAACCCTGGCATTGGCACCACATGCTTCAAACAGGGTGAGGGGCCGATGCCATGGTAACAACAGAACTCTATAGCTGTAGAAAACTGGTTTCTGGAATAGTGACCTTGGGAAGAAAATAGGCAAATGGCTATGGGTGGGAAAACTTTTAAAAAACAATTCCGATGTAAGTTCCTCTGAAATTAAGGGACTTTCTTCCAAACATATGTATTTACATTTGGGTGCCAATGAGATCTTTTAAACCCTCTCTTTTTGTGTCAGTTGTCATTCTGTTTATGAATGTGAAGTATTTGTGTGAAGGGAAAGTCAATTGTCCTATGAACAACTGTGTGTGTGTGTATGTGCTGAAACGGCCCATTCCTATGGCACATTTACAGCATTATGATTCCACTTTACTTTCCAGGTTTGAGAGAGACCTTTGGAATCCTCCGCCAAGGAGCTCCTTTGGTGCCTACAAATAAACCACCAATATCAGGACTTCATAGATTCAGTTGAAGTGGAATCATAATGCTAGAAAACTCTATGTTGCAAAGAAAAGATTCCTTCCTTTGTCAGTCACAGCTAGCATAGACCCTATAGATTTACATGCCAAATGAAGTCTGGGGAAGAGAAAAACAATCAAATCTGTTCTATAAGCTGGTTTCCGATAACTGTATTTTCCTTGTTGGGTACTTGATCCCTTTTGAACATGTGTCCACCATTTTACATAATCCTTAGTTCTGGGTTAGGTAACTTGTTGCCCTCCAGATGTTTTGAACTACATCTGGCAAAGCACCCACAGAGATAACTGAGGGCCCTTTCATACTATATAGTTATATGGTGTCATCGTCCTACTTTAACTGCCATGTCATTATCCTGTGGAATTTTGGGATTTGCAGTTGAAGAGATGAGTCTATAGGCCAGTGGTTCTTAACATGTGAGTCCCCAGGTGTTTTGGCCTTCAGCTTCCAGAAATCCTAACAGCTGGTAAACTGCCTGGGATTTCTGGGAGTTGTAGGCCAAAACACCTGGGGACCCACATGTTAAGAACCACTGGCCTATAGGATCCTCAGCCAGGGAGCTCCTTTGGTGCCTCTTGCCAAACTCAAACCCTTGGGTCCCACAGGAGGGAGTCATAGTATTGAAGAGGAAAACATAGTACAAAAGGATCCAAATGAAGAAACCTTGGAAACTGACTTCTAGAACCTACATTTTCCACAACCTCCAGACGGAATGGGCAGCAGCCATGTCAGCTCGGACATACTGGGACTTGTAAGGCAGCAAAGGCAAACTCCCTCTGAACAAGTTTTATGAAGAAAAATCTTAATAAGGTTGGGTTGTTGTAAGTTTTTTCGGGTTATATGGCCATGTTCTAGAGGCATTTTCTCCCGACGTTTCGCCTGCATCTATGGCAAGCATCCTCAGAGGTAGTGAGGTCTGTTGGAACTAGTTCCAACAGACCTCACTATCTCTGAGGATGCTTGCCATATAGCTCGAAAAAAACCTACAACAACTCAGTGATTCCGGCCGTGAAAGCCTTTGATAATACACTTAATAAAGTTGACAGAAACTGGAAATGACATGAAAGCACAACAACAACAACATTTCAAATCAAACAATTAAATCAAATGTGTTTGATTTAGGGAAGAGCATTTATATCATACCCTGCTTTTAAAAAATGTAGACTTTATGAACTGTATGTGTGCACGTATGTATATGTGTGTGTGTATGTGTGTCAATATATACATCCACACAAACATACAATTCATACAGTGTATATGGTGGGGTTTGTTTTGTTTTTTTGTTTTGTTTTTTGTTGTTGTTTTTTGCAAGATATGATATAAATGTTCTTCCCTTTGCCCAGCTTACTGTCTGCTATGATAGGAAATCAGAACAGACTTTAGGAAAGATCTATGGTCTGGAGTCTTCATTGCTACACTCGGAAGTATGCAGATGGCAGACTATGGAAAGCTCTCCCTTCTTTTTTTAAAAAAAGTAATTAATTCCTGTTACTCATTACAGTCGGCCATCCTGTTTGAAGCTGGTGGAGCGGAAAACTTCATTGGCCTACATAACATGGGATTGTGGGAACAATGGAGGCAGCCAGAGCAGCACTGGCACAAGCCGTTTGGATGGTAGTTTCTTGATGTACCCTACAGCCAGTTAGTTACTATTCCTGGTCATGAGGGGCAGAGCTGAACCTAGGCACTAGCTAGTCTGTAAACTGGGCAGTTACACTCTTTGGAAACCATCGGTAAAGGGGTACAGGATGCCCTTTTCAGAACCATGCAAGCTTGTAAAACACCTGTCATGGCCCAGCCAGGAACTGGAAGCATTAAATCCTGTAGGATCTTGGCTACATTGTTTAAGAAATTATTAAATGGTATTACACATTACCATCTTGCTGTTGTCTTTTTAAATTAGGATATTACCACACCATTATGTAAAAGTTCGCTTAAATGTTCCAAATCCATTCTTTTAGAAAATAAAAGAAAATATGCACCAGCATAGCTCTTCTTCCTGTTGATGATTCCCCTATTAACTCTGTATGAACACAATTTGGGCTATCTCCTTACTACACCATTTGGTAGACACTCCTCCCATACCACCCACTGTATATATAGAGAGAGGGGAGGGGGTTGAAAGAACTGTGCCTTATAATAAGAGTTGGTCACTTTGCGCCATTTAATGGTTGTGCAGTTACATAGTTACTGGCTGCCAGGCACACATTCATCATGCCTCCCATCATAATAAATATAGATGACATAATAAGTATGAATACTGAAATGCCAGCCTTGTACACATTTATTTGTGCTGACAGGGGCTGGTACAGTCATCAGTGCTAAACCTTGTTTTTGGGGTACTGGAGCCAACAGAAATCAGAGGATTCCAATCGGTGACAATGTTTGTTTATTTGAATCTATCGCACCACATCACAATTAAAGGTGTGCATCCATATTCAAAACACAATGCTAGATAACAAATCAGTGCTGTCAGTATGTACATAAATGTAGCTAAACACACAAACTTTTCAAAAGGTAGCTCAGCAGTATATCCCCCTTGAAGGAAAGGCTTATGAAGCTAACATGAAACCGAAATAGTACCAGGAACTGTGAAATTATGTTGTCATGTTAAATTTAATTTGTTATTGGTTTTTGGTTTTGATGCCTGTTTTATATATTGTTACTAGCTGTCCCCTGCCATGCGTTGCTGTGGCCCAGTCTGTGTATATGTTTTGTGTGTGTATATGTGTGTGTATATATTTGTGTGTTTGTGTATATATGTGGTTCTGCGCATGTGTTGTAATGTTGTTGGGTTTTTTGGGCTTTTTAAATCACTTTCGCTATGTTTTTCAGTATTTTTATGAGTGATGGTCACTCGTTGGCCGGATAGGTGTATTGTATCCAAATTTGGTGTTAGTTCATCCAGTGGTTTTTGGGTTATGTCATTCCCACAAACGAACATTACATTTTTATTTATATAGTGTCGTTTTATTTTGTCTTATACTGTTGTTATGTATTTTAATGTGTTACATTTTTAACTGTGATGATCAGGCTTGGCCTCATGTAAACCTCTCCAAATCCCTTCGGGGAGCTGGAGGCAGGGTACAAAATAAAGTTGTTGTTGTTATAAAAAATCAAAGGGGGAAAATGGGACAAAAGTGGGAAATAATGGCAAAGCAGCAGAAGGTCCTCTCCTTCTCCACACTAGAACTTGAACAGGGAAATGAAACAGAGAAAAATTTTGCCCAGCCTCACTGCAGCAAAGATAGTTTCTTATTGCATGATTGTCGATATTGGAATGTCGATACTTTCAAGAAGCTATCCACTGGTTTCCCACCAGGAGTTAAAAGGTATGGGAAACATAGGAATGCTACTGCTTTGCAAGGACATTATGCAATAAGTAAACACTTGCCCAACCCATACTACCTCATTGCGATACTAATTTATTTTACAGAACTTTTAATTACTTTATTTTTTGGAGAAGAATTTAGGATTGATCAGAGAAGATAGCAATATCCTGACAATATGGCTCTAAAATATTTTTTTTGTTGTTTATTTGTTCAGTCGCTTCCACGTGATCTCATGGACCAGCCCACACCAGAGCTCCCTATTGGCCGTGGCCACCCCCAGTTCCTTCAAGGTCAAGCCAGTCACTTCAAGGATCCCATCCATCCATCTTGCCCTTGGTCGGCCCCTATTCCTTTTTCCTTCCACTTTCCCCAGCATAATTGTCTTCTCCAAGCTTTCCTGCCTTTTCATTATGTGGCCAAAGTACTAATATCCTTCCCTCCAATGAGCAGTCAGGTTTCATTTGCATGGACTGGTTGGATCTTCTCGCAGTCCAAGGCACTCTCAGAATTTTCCTCCAACGCCACAGTTCAAAAGCATCTATCTTCCTTCACTTGGCCTTCCTTATGGTCCAGCTCTCACATCCATAGGTTACTACAGGAAATACCGTTGCTTTACCAGTGTGATGTCTCTACTCTTCATTATCTTATTGAGATTGGACATTGTTCTCCTCCCAAGAAGTAAGCATCTTCTGATTCCCTGGCCACAGTCTGCATCTGGAGTAATCTTTGCACCTAGAAATACAAAGACTGTCACTGCCTCCATGTTTTTACAGTTATCAATCAGTCTGGTTTTAATAATCTTGGTTTTTTGATGTTTAACTGCAACCCAGCTTTTGCACTTTCTTCTTTCATCTTGGTTAGAAGTCTCCTCAGCTCCTCCTCTCTTTCAGCCATCAAAGTGGTATCATTTGCATATCTAAGGTTGTTAATGTTTCATAATATTTTATCTGAGTAACTTTAAAAAGTAACTAGAATCACTTGTTCATTATATTACTAAAGTGACATTGTCTCCCCACCTTTCATTACTTTTGATATTTACTGTGTATAGTTGTATATAAGTCAAACTGATGCATAAGTTGAAGGCATCTTTGGGGCCAAAATTACAGATTTTGATATGACCCATGGATATGTTGAGAGTAGGCCTGGTTGATCAAGAAAAAATTTGTTTCTAAAATCGATTTGTAATTGGGGTGTTTTTTTGTTTCGATATTTAAAATAATTACAAAACTTTCCCAAAAAAAGTTTCGGTATTTACGAAATTTCGTAAATATTTACAAAACATTTTGTAAAGATGGCGGACCCCCGCGCATGCGCAGAATCACTTCCGAAGCTTCGTTATTGGCGCGGAGGTCGATTCGTTAAGGTTATAACGAATCGATTCGTT